TCTCTGCTCCGCCATCTCCACCTTCAGCGCGCGTCATGTTCGCCGGAGTGTCCGCCGTCAGCCTCCACATGCGCAAGGGGGCCTTCCTCGTATCCATTTTGTTCCTCAACAGCTCCGCCCGGAGCCTCGCTGCTGCGTTTGCATTCGGCACCTACGCGGTGTTGGCTCCGGTTGCTCACGCAGCTGCTGTCCTCACATGGGTGTTCACAAGTTTCCTGGTGGCTGACATCGCTGGGTTCACGTGGATACTGATCAAGGACCAGCGGGCGCTTCTCAACAGGCGTGGGTGGTACGCAGTATGCCTCCAGGTTGCGATTTCCTCCGTGGTTACCACCCTCCTGCCTCTGTGGCCGTACGTCGTCATCGCCGGCTTCCTAGCATATATAAAGATCTTTGGAATTCACTGACCTGATCGAGGCACAGCCAGGAATTGGTTCAATGTATGTATGGTATCTTATTGCATTCATCATCGATCGTTGATTATTAATTATAATTGATGTAGGGTGATTTTCTTGATTAGATGTGACTTTGCTTTGTATTATATTATTCTCTCTGTGCATTCTAAATTATAAGATGTTTTGACTCTCTAGCTACATAGCTTTAATTTTACTATACACTTAGACATGTTATACATAGCATCTGTGCTGCCAGTGAATCGGTGAAGAAGCAAGCAGCTGATATACCGAATCGTTCTTTACTGCCAATTCAAAATCCCCCTATCACTCCCAGAATTTGAACCGGCAGTACCAAATCGGCAGTGATGTACCGGTCCTGTCACTGTCGGTTTTTTTAAACCGGTAGTGATAACAACCTTCACTACCGGTGTTTTGTTGAGCCAACACTGTCGGTTCGTGGTGCCAACCGATAGCATTGAGTCAAACAACATTGCCAGTTCGTGATGCCAACCGATAGTATTGTGAACCGGTTCATCACCCAAGCTGGCAGTGATATTCCCATGATCACTGCCCGTTCATGGTTGCAACCGGTAGTGTTGATTTGGGCAACACTATCGGCTTAGTACTTGAGCCGGCAGTGCTATGCCTATCATCACCGATGGTTTTTGGTGAACCGGTTATGATCTTTTTTCGCATTTTGTTATCTAATGATTTATTTTATTATTTTTGTGTGGTACTTTATATTTCCTATGGTTACGGTAATGTAGACTAGACTCACATACATCACAAATCCATCAATATTTTATATTACAAATGTTACGGTTACAATGAAAATGTACTTATCAAAGACGGTGACATTATCACAGATCCCTCAAGATCCCTATTACAATAGTATATCGAGCATCTCTTTATCAAATTGCTGTTTGTACTTCTTAGACCATGCAATGGAGAATGCTCCATCTTTAGTCAATACCTCATCAAAGATGAAGGTTGCTACCTCCTCTCTTGGAATCCTCTGATCTCAAAGTCTAACAGCTTTTAGTGGCCAAGTTTCTTCCGCTGTTGTTCAAGCAAGATGATGTAGAAATGCACAAATGTAAGATAAAATAGTAGATCGTTTCATTGAATTAACCGATATACATAAAATGTGAAGCATACACACCATTTCATCTCCTTCCTTTGTTTTCCCTCTGAGGCAATGGAGCATTGCCCACATTACGTAGAACCTGCATTCGTTGTTGGCCATCGGCTGTTCTAGGGTTTCCAATGGCATATGATCAACCTCGAATGGGGTCTTCATGTCCTCGTCCATTTTTGCCTTGATATTGTGTCACATTATAAAGTGTGAAATGCGGCAACATTTGAATATGTTATGTGATTAGAAAATAATATGTTATTGGGTTCACTTACTTATTTAGCAATGTAAGTCGGGGGTCGATCTGAGAAAGTGACCTTTTCTTCGAGTCCCACACCTTGATACATGATTATGTAAGTTTGGTATCTATAAGGACGAAATGGAAACTACAATCACAAAGTCCTAGTTAATGAATAATCTTTTAAAAAATAAGAAGCACAAAAACAAGGGCCAAGACCACATACTCGTAGTTGTAGGCTTGGAGTATGTTCATTTTTTAGAACTCAGTGAAGCATTTGGTCAACCTTTTTGTTAGATCTTTCATGTCACAGCCGTCATCGCCTCTGCATGTTTTCTCATTTAGTTGACACGGGCCAAGAAGGCTATATGTTTCAAGAACCCAGTGAAGCATGTTTTCTCAAATGTTGAAGATGTAGTTGAGATAATATCGTGCGGATAGGGTACTTACATAGGTCCACAATATCATCATTTAAGGATAGGGTACTTACATAGGTCCACAACATCATCATTTAAGGATGTAGTGGACGAACTAAAATCCTTATTTTTAATAAAATACTATTGATAGTCAATAAATAAGAGAGTTTAAAATTAACTTAAGGATATAGCAACTAATAAGTTCTAACTTTCAAAATGAAATATATAGATTCACAACATTATTATAAGACATGGGCTACAATGATAGTCACCACAACTTAATGTAAGGTTTCAATTAAATACATATTGAAGATGCACAAAAAATATGTACATGGATGAAAAACATATAAATTAATAATTGATAAGTTTATCATAACTCAGTAGAGATTATAGAGAATGTGTATATGTATGGGCATGTCTCCCTCACAGGTGACTGACGCTCGTCCTCGCCATGACGTCCTCCTCTCCCATGCCCCCGCCCTCCCTCACGGTCCTCGCCCCGATGTTCTTCTTTCCTCCATTAGTTTCCTTGCCATCAACTATCATTGTGGTTTTTTGTGGCATACTACCTTCGTCAGCAGCTGCCGTTGAAGCCTCTTTCACCTGTCCTTAGCACCAACCCCTTTTCCCGTGCTCCGCCCTCTCCTCTTCTCCCTTCTCGCCCAAAGCGTCTTCAAGATTCAGTCGTAGACTTCTTGGCCTATTCCCTTTTATGGGGAGGAACAAACTTCTTTAGTGGACTAATGACTTCTTGCTCTTCCCTGTCTTCACCACCCAATCCACCCGCTTTATCACTCCCCCTGCGCCAAGAGAGTAAGTCACTTCTACTCGGATCATAATGACGTTGGCGAAGTCCCCCACTCCCTCTCTCCTCGTCCAAGATAGTATTTGAATGCCATGATGAGCTTCTAGACAGTTTCTAACTGCCATCGTCCCATCTTCTCTTTTCAGAAATGTACCTTAGTTTCTTTGAGTATTGTTGTGTCTCCCCTTCTCCATGATCATCGCACAAGCTTTGTCAATGTGCCCTATTATCCCACATGTGTAACAAAACTCCACCAGGAACTTGTAAACGATAGGGCACCACACAGGATTGTCATCCTCCTCTTCCGTCAGGAAAATTCCATGCATCAAAGGTTTATTGATATTTAGTTTAACCTTGGTTTGCAGGAACTGCCCAACCGCCGAACCATTCTCATCTAGTTCCATCTCCACAAAAGAACCAACTTCATTCCCAATCACCATCCCCGTCTCCTTGTTCATCATGCCCAGCAGCATACCTAAGGTACATAGCCAGATCGGCACGTGATCGAAGGAGATGTCCTTCACCCTCTTCCTTCCATCAAAGTCTACCATCACTATCAGATCCTTTCCAAAAACCCATGGACCATCCCCCAACGCCCTTCGCTTTCCTGTTGGCTGGTGGAAGGTGAACAGAAAGTGGTTTGATCCGAGGTCTTTGCAGTCTATACCGTGGATCGAGCACCATATATTCCCCAGCGCCTAAGCCGGCCCATCCATGTTCACCGGCCGATCTTCCAACACCTTCCCGGTCGCTTATGGTTTCGCCGATCGTGATCCACTAGCATTCCCCACCGACACCCTGATGCTTTTCTTCTCAGCCTCCGAAAGCTTCACCTTCTCCATCATTCCCTCAACGGTCTCCATCTTCCTTCCGTCCGCCTTGAATCACCCACCCTCCCTGGCAGGATCTACCCTGAGGTGGGATAAACCCTAATGAGGCTTAGTTGCGGCGTGACTACTAGTTAGCAAAGGAGGTTCGGCTCCTGATCGGAGGGATTTACGTGGGCACAAGTGAGGAATCGGATGTGGACTCAAATTCACATCGAAACAGGAACGAGGGAGAGAGAGAAGGAACCCTAACCACTGCACTATACCCTCTCGAGTCGCCATAGGCGCCGAGAACTCGAAGCTCCTGAAATTCTACTCTCACATAGGAATGAGCTAGAATGAAGCTAAAAATAGTAGCTTTTCACAGCTTCACCTTGTACTTGTGGGCCTAGTGTTAGTGTTTTAACCGAATTTGACCCATTGGGGGAGAGAGCACGGTGGCTAATCCCAACCTATGGCATGCAGGCCGTCTTTAAGCCTCCGCACAACAAAGCCTAGAACGCCTGTTTGAGCAGCCTATTAGCCACACGCTTCTCTAGCTTCTTCTTATATTGTCGAACCCGATACACAGTAGTCTACCCTTTGCGCCTGACAGGTTTTAATCTTACCTCTCCGTTTTCTCACACGACATGGCTGCTTCGAAGCTAAAAGCAAAAGCTGCTCTATTAGGTCAGTTTCAGTAGAGGTTTCATGATCATTAAATAAACTGACATATATAGTATCATTGAAAAGACTAAAATTTTCATAGGATGTAATAAGTTTCATGCTTTAATGTATGTTATCGTGTTGAATTAATGAGACGTTTATTATAACACATCGTTTTATCGGGACATTCTGTGTTGTGCTCGCTCGTCCAAACTTTTGACACCAAATGGATGGATGGATGGAGGAATCCAGAAAAAAAATCCGAGAAGCTCCTGCCACCAGCACTTGATTCCTGCAAGTCGGCAAGCCGCGAGAACCTCAAACATTCTCTTCGCCCTGCCTTCCTGCCTCCGCTAGTCCGCTGCGCTGCCACTCCCGTCCTTTCTCAGGCGTCACTGACCAGCAGGCCCCACGGGCTCGGCCCCCTCCTCCGCTTCGCTTCCGCCTTCCGGTGACAAGCGAGTGACCGATCTACTCCGACCCACCCACCACCCACCGCACCACGCGAGATCTCTCGCCACCAGGGCAGGCTCCCTCCTATGGATCTCCGCCGCCTCGCGGTGTTCGCGGCCGCGCTCGCCGCCCTCGCCGCCGGGTGGTGGGCCCGTAGCGCGGAGGCGTCGATCCATACCTACGACCGGGAGCCCTTCCGCGAGGTGGGCAACGCCTTCCTCCTCTCCGGCGGCAGCGAGGGCATCGTCGCCGACGGGGCAGACCCCGCCGCCCCGCCATCCTCCTTCATCAAGTGAGGAACTATCTCTCTCTCTCTCTCGACCCCACGCCCGCCTCCCCCCTCCCTGTCTTCGGATGGCTGGAGAACGCAGTGTTTGGCCGTAGTTTCTAGAAGCTGGTTTGATGCTAGAGCTAAGGAAACGGTGGAGTTAGAGCGCGCCACTGGAATGGGAACTGGTTGCTGGAGCTGACGCTGCTCTGCTTGCTTGGTGCCACATTTGGTGGAAAGGTTCTGCTCCTGGGTAGTGATCAGTATGTGATTGGTAGTGATCAGTATGTGATTCGTTGTGGAATGTGCAAGGGGTTCGCGATGCTTTCGAAATTTGGGCTCGTGCTGAGGAGCTGGATGCAGATGGGTTTGTGCTGTGCTTAGCCTGTTTTAATTTGAGTGGTGCTGCCCACATTCATCTTACTTATGGTGGGGCTCGGCTGTTTGGGTTGTGTTAAACCAGCGCATTTTGGTTGTGTTTTATGGCTGCCTTTTTACTTTGTGTTCAACATGTACTTACCTATATTGCCTACCACATTGAACCAGAGCAAGCTTTAATTTCATTGATCTTTCCTTCTTCTTTTTTGTTGTTGCATTAGCCACTGATTTGGAGAATTCCATCCCATTTGTGTACAGTTATCCTTTCAACGATCACAAATAGTCTTAAATTTGTACAATTGACTTTACTAATTGGCTACTTTTGTAAGACTTAAACCATGTGGTGTGGTGCTGAATTTGATATACTAAATGCCCTGTCTTACTCTCTCAGGTTTGTGAATGTTACATTTTGGAGAACCCCAGAAGCTGCGGAATCACACACAAAAATGGCACATAGTACGGGCTTGGTACAGGCTATACTATTTGAAGCTGCAGACAGGGATAACATTGGGGGATCTGCCTATGGCGGACAGAGGTCCATATGTTGTACCCCGGACCTTGCTAAACTAGAGGGCTGCAAGCAAGGGGAAGTAATCAGGAGGCCGTCCTCTGATGATCCAGATTGGCCCCTACGTGCTAGAACGCACTTCAGCGCTAATCACCTTTCAGTGAAGTTAGAAGATGAGCCAATGCGCATTACAAAGACAGGCATGTACAACTTGTTCTTCATATCCTGTGATCCAAAACTGAGAGGCCTTACTATGAGTGGGAAGACTATCTGGAAGAATCCTGGTGGGTACCTACCGGGACTTAATGGCTCCTTTGATGAAATTTTATGTTCTCATGTCGCTGGCGTATCTGTTGGTAATGATTGTTTGGTTTAGCCAATACATAAGGTTCTGGAGGGATATATTGCCAATCCAGAATTGGATCACTCTAGTCATTGCACTTGGTCTGTTTGAGATGACACTATGGTACTTTGAATACTTGAACTTCAACAGCAGTGGTGTGCGGCCAGTTGGAATCACAACTTGGGTGGTCACTGTTGGAGCTATCAGGAAAACAGTTCGCGTCTACTCATCCTTTCTATCTCAATGGGTTATGGTGTTGTTCGTCCAACTTTGGGAGGTCTCACTTCCAAGGTCTTGCTACTCGGACTTACATATTTCCTGGCGTCTGAGTTGCTGGACATCCATGAAAATGTTGGAACAATTAATGATATATCAGGCAAAGCAAGGCTTTTCCTGGTCCTTCCTGATGCATTTTTGGATGCTTTTCTCATACTTTGGATTTTCACTTCTCTTTCCCGCACTCTAGAGAAGCTACAGGTAAGCCAATTTAGTGTAGTTTAACAAGTAGAAGCATTTCTATTTGTCCGTTCTTTTTGTAAATTCATACATAGACTTTGTGTTCCACAAATGTTAGTACTTCCACATGTAACGCAGTAGTCCTTTGTTATTTCAGGAAATGTGGCTAATTTAGATATGCCATAGTGATTAGTATGCTAGAAATTCTTAATACTTGTATTAAGGATGAAGCATGTATTCATGAATAGTGCAAGTAGGACAGCCTCTTGAACTGTTACAAATTGTTAGGAAGCCTGTTAAATCTAGATGAAGAATTGTGTCTTTGTGTTGCTTCTTAAACTTGCTACTTTTCTCGTTCATCAGGCAAGGAGGAGTTCCGTGAAATTGGATATATACAGAAAGTTTACAAATGCATTGACTGTTTCTGTGATAGCTTCAGTTGCCTGGATTGGTTATGAGGTATGTAAATATCTCTAAATAAATCCATAGTGAACATTATGTCTGTACAGGAACATTTGGGTGCATTTCTTCTAACAACATAAGATTATCTTGCTGCCTTTTGGTCCATTGAATTGCTGTAAGATCAATGAATATCCAAGTTTTTCGTTATCTTTATAACGTCCTGAAGTTGTGCCACTCAAATACGAGGAAATGAGTTGACCAATGGACTTGGGATTTTTTTTTTTCTTATTCATGTATAGGGATATATTTGATTGTTACTTTTTCACTGAATTCAAAATAGTGATCTTTTATTATTCCAAATATTTTCTCAAAGAAACGCTTCTGCCATTGAAGGAAAAATATCACCATCAACATGTCACTGTTACACTTTTAGCAGATTTCCTTAGGTTTCAGTTTTTAATACTGACTTTCGTAAACTAATGATTATGCTTTAAACAAGTTTCTGCTGTCCACAATATTGCAAATTTGCAATGGCTGGTCTTGTGCCACTCTGGATCAAACTACTTAGGAGAATAGTCATTGTGCTAATATTGGACATTGAATAAAATTGTGGTATATCTTTTTTTTGCGCATAAAAATTGTGGTATATCAACATGTTTCTGTGATTAGAATAGTCATTTTATTCTCATCTTATTTTCCTGTGTGTTCAAGAAAAGTACTCCCCATGTTATTTATTTCATTGAAATCATCTTTACCTGAGGAGCCAATTCATAAGAATAAGATATGGTGATCTAGACTAATAGCTAAGACCCTCTTTTTTAGTGAGCTTTCTCTCAAAGTAATATGCTACTCCCTCTATTCCAAATTATAAGACGTTTTGGCTTTTCTAGATACATATCTTTTGTTATGCACTTAGATATACACTAGGTCTAGATAAATAGTTAAAGCAGTGTATCTAGATTCTAGAAAAGTTAAAACGTCTTATAATTTGGAACGGAGGGAGTATTTGCTACCAAAACCAATGGCATCAAACTAATTGATGAATGGTATGCAAGTTTTACCACCACCAAAGGCATGAAACCAATTGTGAATGGCATGCAGGTTTTGTCCAATGCATGTGTCAGTATTATTCATAGGCTGTTGGATTCGTTGAAGTTATTCTGATTCATGAGCATCTATGATCAAACAATTTTTCTGCATATACATAAACCTCTGAAGTTTCCGTACAAGGAGATAACATAGTTTCCTTATTAATTGATGATATTTAAACTGGCATAATTTATTTGAAATTTCTTTTTGAGAATCTTCAGTTTTGAACCTTGTAGATTTGAATCACCTATTTGTTACTGTTGACTCATTTTGTAGGTCTATTTTAAAGCGACAGACCCCTTCAGTGAGAGGTGGCAGAGTGCCTGGATCATAACTGCCTTCTGGGATGTTCTTGCGTTTGTGTTGCTTCTTGTGATTTGTTATCTGTGGGCACCATCCCAAAGCTCACAAAGGTAGTTCTCTTTCATTTTCAATGCGATGCATAATCTAGCTGGTTGCCGGTAGCTTCTTGCCTTACCATATCATCCATGAAGTGCCAAACAATTACCAACTTCATCAATAGAAAAATAGCAGCTGTTCTATGTGTATGGACTGCTCCGTAATCAATATGCCATTTCTTTGTTCAGATATGCATATTCAGGTGAAGCTGCTGACGATGATGATGAGGAATCTCAATCTCTGACGAAAGGAGATGGTGAAGTAGGGATGGTAAAGATTGACAAGGACAGAACCGCTGGTGTTAGTGGTGCTTTCAGCTTAGAAGATGAGGCTGAGGAGGACAAGCGGGAATAGCGATTTCTTGTTCCTGATGCCCAGGTCCCAGAAACAATTTAGATATTTTGGAGCAATAATGTTCCAAGAATACTTCTTTTCCTGTCTAATTGTTGGCGGTCCAATCTCCACTGCCCATCTGTTCCAAAGTTGCATATGGTGGTTGTAGAAGTTCTTTGGTGGTCCAGTCTCCAATGCCCTTCTGTTCCAAAGTTACATAAGGTGGTTGTAGAAGTCTCCAATGCTCTCCTGTTCCAAAGTTACATAAGGTTGTTGTAGAAGTGCGATTTTATCCGTTCCTGTGAGGCATATGGTTCGGGTTTGATGTAGACCTCAGATAGGCCAAGGTGTTGCAAATTATTTATAACAATGTACATAACTGTTTTGTTTGCCGGTTTTACATTTTCTGATGCATAATCACATTCTGCACCAAATTGTTGAGCGAAGAATTGACAGATTCACTTCCAGGACTGGAAGCTCACATCCAATTGGAGAATCAAAAACTGACTACTACTGATCAAGTCAAGGAAAACTCACTATCAATTTATGATTACACGAAAGTTTAGTATGTAAAAGTTTTTCAGAAGTGTCTGGCACAAACATTATCCCCCTGTTTTACGCCGAGGTCAGATCTCATCGTCTATATACATTTGATTATGCTTGTCAGCTTTTAAGACCCTACTACCCACCTGTTCTGCACTATTGTCACAGCTATGAAAATGATGGCATCACCATTTCATGTGCCCTTACACACTCAAATAGTCAAATCCAATGCAGTACAATGCCACCTTCGACAGTGAGAGTGTTATCTTTACAATATATTACAGGTACAAACTCCCATGAACTCAGCTTTGGACACCAAAATTAGTTTTGAGCAAACAGAACTTGATTCAATCAGCGCCAAGGGATTGACCATTCTTGGTGATAAACTCGGCAGAATTCTGCTCGGCCCATACAGCTGCGTCCAGGTACCCAAGCTCGTATAATTTGTCTAGGGTTTCATCTTCAGCAGGTTCCAGAGCCCAGTTAAACAGCTGCAGTAGGTTTAGAGGGCATTTGAGAACAAAGTACAACAGTCAGCAATAAACCATGGAATTGAAGTATGTAAAAGTTGAAAAAATTGAATCACCTGTCTTGGACTAGCCCTGTTCTCTGGATTGCAGTCTGGACTGATCCCAATATCTTGCAATCCCAGACGGCTGGCTGGAAAAGCACATATTCGGACCTACAATGGTAGGCAGATAAGTAATGAGCACTACAGAACAAACAGATAGTATGGTACATATCATGTATTCATGTATCATGAAATGGAACTATGTGCCACCAGTGGTACAATATGCTGTTTGTCTAATATGATTTTGCCAGTCACATACATTAAGATTAAGCATCAGAATTGCAGAAACCAAAAGGCACATACTGTTTCTGCAGCAGAAGTGGGCGGCATAAACAATGTAAGGCCCCCATCGATGCAGAGCCTATTACGGAAGAAAGTAGCTGGTCTGGGTGCTAAGTACCTGAAATGAGAACAAGATGGTTATTTAACTTGTAATCAAAATATAACTACAGATACATAAACAGATAGGAAAGAAAATGCTAGCTGATCTTACCCAGGAATAAAGGAGGATGTAATGACTGCATTAATGACATCATCTTTGGAGTCAAATTGGTCCACCAGCAAGCCCCTAGGCCTCCAGGATAGCTGAGTAATAGCAACTGTATGAGAAGAATATAAGTTTTCTCAAAATGGCAAAAACGAGTTACTTCCCATCAAGAACAAAGCGCATATCTAGTATGGAGAGGCAGTGCTTGTAAAAAATATTAAGCTTACCACGAATTCTTCCATTGCACCTAATGTGAAGATCATCTGGGAGAAACTCGTCAAGGACATCCTTGAGTACAGCCTACACAAGCAAACAGAATTACAGGGTTAAAACCAAATAAAATTGAATCTGCTAAGTGCTAACACAGGACTGCTTAGTAACTGGATATCAAACGTCATCTGCAACATAACCTAGAGGAATTCAAAGTAAAAATGGGAACACATACCCCAAGGCGAAACGCAGTGCCTTTACTCCGGCAGTTGTCAGCTAGAACTTTGGTCACCTGCAGAGCATCTTGCATTGTGTTCCCAGATGCGATCACTGCACAGATTATGGCACCAGCTGATGAGCCAGCTAACGGAGTTTTCTCCTAATATAAATTCTGGAAAAACAAAATCATTATAAGGAGGGCTGCACAACATAAACAGTAAGAGTGCATACTGTATGTCACACAAAATTCGTGAACCACATGGACACATGAGTTCCCATGCATAACTGTAAATGCAACATACAAACTAGCTTGAGACTGGAGGAGCCATGGGGGGGCCAGCGGGGGCCATGGCCCCTCCCCCCTCCCCCCCCACCCCCCCTAACAATACAAATTTTTTTATATATAATATACATAGTAAATAGTCTATGTTTATATTAAAAGAGTATAATAAAGAAAATCTTGTTATAATACTTATATTTTGATTTATGTAAATTTATTTGCCTACCATATTAGGATGTATCTATTAAATTTTTTGGTTTATTAAAATACTTATGTTTTATTATACTTCATATTTTTAATGAACGTGTATTTAACTTAGCAATATCAATTCGGTGACTAATTCCAGAAAAATAGGAGCCTAATTCCGAGATAAAGATCTAAACAAATAGGCTGCACTCAATTCTCATATTTTGAAATTCTTTGACCGGCCCCTTATGCATAATTCTTGGCTCCGCCACTGGTCCCAAGAGACGAAGAAGCTACTAAACTAAAGAAATCTATGCCAGACTCAACCATTATTGCTCTATACTATGCTAAGTTGTTGGCTGCAATGTGCAATTTTGTCAATCTTGTTTGCAAAGACACTCCACAACTTGTAAGCACAATATTGACAGTTCATCTTTTCAATCTTATCAAAAGCTGTAATGCATCATTACAACATCAGATAGGCATGCGCACGGAAGAGATTAATATGAGATGCGGGGGTAAGCTTACGGTGATGTATCCGCGGTCCATAAGGCACTGCGCGGCGCCGAGGTGGTAGGGGAAGAGCAGCCCGGCCGCGGAGAAGCTGAAGCCGGGGCTAGTGAGCTCCCGCCGCGCCCGCTCCGCGTCCACGTCCTCGGGCCGCTGCTCCCACACCACCCTGTCCCTCGTCTCCACCTCCTCCACCGCCGGCGCCCCGCCCCTGCGCCTGGCCCCGGCCCCGCGCAGCAGCAGCGCCGCCAGCCCCAGGAACAGCTCCCCCGTCCTGACGGCCAGCGACCTCCTCTCCTCGACCGCTGGCACCGGCACCGGCGCCGGCGCCGGCTCGGGGTCACGCCGCGCCGCGGCGCGCGCGAACAGGAGGCGGAACCGGGATGGGTGCGCCGCTGCGGCTGCGGCTGCGGCGAGCGGGGTAGCGGCTGGCGGCGGCTGGGGCTGGCGCGGGAGGTGAGTGGAGTAGGGGGAGGAAGAGGGGAAGGGGGTGAGGGAGGCCATGAGGCGTTCTCGTCGGCCGCCGGCGCCCGCGCCACCGACGCGAGTGCACGCGCGAAGCATACGAGGCGATGCTGTGACCGGTGAGGGCGCGGGGCTCCGATGGATACGTCTGCGTCGTGTAGCTCGTGGAGAAATCGGATCGAATCGAAGCGAGAAAAAAATAGAAAAAGACGACAGGGACATTTTTTTTTCAACTGGCTGAACCAAAAAACTCACTGTAGCGGCTAAAATTTACTGTTTATGGCTGAATCTGTGACAGAAAAATATTGTTCCGGATGAAAAAAAGAAACGAATCAAGTCAGGTTTGGGATCAGCCGAACAAGGTCATAAGATGTAATATCTGAACTCACGCATTAATTCACACCACCACACACATAGATTCACACACATCCTACCTAGTGCGTAAGCTAGACCTATAATAATAATAAGAAAAGATTGTATACGAGTGAGAGATATCTGAAGTTATCTGAGGCTTCACACGTAATGATAGGCACGTCACCTGATCATTGTGATGCATCCACATACGAGGCTGAAGAAATTAGAGAAAAACCCCGGTGGGAATCATGCGTCCGACGGCTTCCGCACCTGGAAGACCGACCGACCAAGCAACGGCTCGTTCCCCCACGACAGGGACATCTATTTGACCCGTGTCCGTGTTACCCTTTTCCTCCAAGCGTACGTTGCTCCCGCTCAGTCGCTCACGGCCCACGGCACGGGCCATAAGTTCGATGGGCCCGAGTGCACGTGTCGCTTCCCCATGCACAGCGTCCTGGTTCGCTGACATTTGAGGTGTTGATTAGTTTGATCTTCAGTGTAGCCAATCCCAACTCCATCTCCGTATCCATAGAATTTAAACCTTAGCAAATAACGTTAGTCTCATTGGCCATATTGTCATACGACCACCAAAACACTTAATGACACTTGCTAGTGTCATTTTTCCTTACAATGAGGATGGTATACTTAGTGCAAGTATGCAACTGGGTTGTTCCAATTGTCTATATAGGAGCATATTCTAATACCATGAGAGTACGACATAACAGAGCTTGAGTCACTTCATAGTGCTAGTTTGCAGTTGTAGCTTATATTCGACGATTATTTCATGAGGCATACTGTCGGATACCAGAAAATGGGGTACCCCAAGCAAAGATCGAAAAACTGCTTAGACCCTAAAAACAGAACCAACGGAATAAACAAACGAGGTCTCGGCCGAAATCTCCGATTCGCTGAGAGACCCGTCGCCGAGCCCCGGATGAAGCAAACGGTTCTCCGACTCGCCGAGACCGCCTCGCCAAGGCCCCAGCGCCGAGCCCCCCTCGTCGAGGCCCCTCGCCTGCTTGGGGCCTCGGAAGAAGTGCCGATTCTCCGATTCGCGGCGAGGCCGCCTTTAAGACCAACCCCGTGGACCGTTTTTTGACCAAAGCTGCTCGACCGAACGTCACATCTAGGCGCCCAACCACTCCGATGCACGCCGCGATGGCATGAGCAATGAAGTGACGGCTACGCCTGGTCGC